AGAAGTGATATACTGCTAGCCATTTTCCCATGCACACTTCGCTGGCACCACAGGTCCCTGTTGTAAGATAACCCATCCTCTTGAGGCTGATGCAGCTGTAGAGGAGCATAAGCCAAAGCTGGGACATTACAATGGCTGAAAGTCCCAGGTAAGTGGAGCCTTGTGCACATGTGTAGGGACCTCCAGCTCTGATTGCAGTCCTAGTGCTTGAAGCAGAGTCCTTCCTAGAGACATTAGCCATTTGTAGAGTTTTACCAGGCACCAGTTGTAGGTTCAATGATAAAGTATGGAATGAGCTTAAAGCTTGGTCAGATGTCTGAACAGGATTCTCCAGGTTAAAGTTGGTCTGAATAAAAATTGAAACAAGGTTAAAGTAGCCTTTTTAAGGTGGAAACTTTTCAAGTCAGCGCGAACTCTGGTTGCTGTAGAAATACGAAACACCCTGTCAACTATGGCCTGTTTAGCCTACTTGGAGGTGAGTAGTATGGCCAGTATTCTCCTGACGTATTGTGGGAGAATGACTTCAGATATGTCCCTGATATTTACATAACTACTTCTGTGCCTGGCTTCCATAGCTTCCAGTCAATGGTTCACTGATGCTTGAGCTCAGTGTAGCTCTGCAGTCAGGGCCTTAATTGAGGTGTATTGTGTATGAAGGGCCTAAGTATCCTGCTCCACTGCCGTGAGGCATCCCTCAACAGTGTGAATTTCTTCTCACACTAAGGTGAGGTCTGCCGAATATAGCTGGCAGATATTGCGGAGAAGAGTCTTAATATCTTCCTTAGTGAAAGGCTGCTCATTTTCCTCATCAGAGGAGGAGTGATGCAGTCCCCCAGTTGTTGGAATATTGTACAATACGCCCAGGGCCTGTTCCTCTGAGTAGGCCTAAAATGGCTCCCTATTTTCTCTTCGTGCACAGGCTCCAGGGGTTTTGGTAGGCCTGATAAAACTACCTCCAATATTTTCGGCACATGGCAACTCCTCTGCAACACATCTAGCCTGCCCAGTTGCCAGCTCAGCCTTCCTCTCATTTTTAGAGGAGCCGTGGATTTATGAAAAACTGTTCAATTCATTGTTTTTCATAAATCCAGGTGCTTGGCAAGATAAAGGAAGCTAGGAGAATTTTATGAATGATATCAAAGGCAGCAGAAAAGTCCATAAGGTGGACATTGTCTCTTAGCCATAACAGTGCCATGTATTAAAAAACAAAATGCTGACGTAGTAAAGTAAAAAGGCTGTACCCACAAATGGGATTCACCGGATAGTTGGATGACAGATAAGCGCATTGTAGACAATCCTTTAATGTTATCCACCCCTCCTCTTCTCTTTCTCTAGGAAGAACATGAGAATAAAATCAAGAAAACATTTGATAATCACAACCTGTTCATTTGCATGGCAGATCTGTTTCTGGCTGGTACTGAGACAACATCTGCCAGTCTAGAGTGGTGCCTTCTCTATATGATGGTGTTTCCAGATGTACAAGGTACAATTTCTTGGCATATCTCTAGCATTAGATCTGGTATCTGTATAACACAGCAGATTGAGACTTACATGACCTTTGGAATTAATGGTTTCAGAGAAATGTCGAAGTGAAATTGACAGAGTTCGTGGAGACAGAGACCGACTTGATTATGAGGACCGAGTAAGCATGCCATACACGCAGGCTGTCCTACAAGAGGTACAGAGATTTGCCTGCATTGCACCTCTAGGTGGAGCTCACGCAGCCCTAAAGGACGAACAACTAAATGGTTTTATAATCCCAAAGGTAAGAAAATGCATGGTGAATTCTATTGCCTGTATTATTACAAATATATTCCATCTGAATGAGTGAATATATATATATATTCACTCATTCAGATGGAACATATTTGTAATAATACATGAACTCCACTCATCTCTTGTAACATTATTACATTAGAGAATGCCTGGTGCTTTATAGATTACTGGCCCCCCATATAGAAGTTAAAAAAAGAAAAAGAAAAAAAGTTACTCTCTCATCACTCAATATAGAGGGGCACCAGGCTGTCTTTCACCTACTAAATGGCCTTAGTAACCTCATTCTTTTCAACAATGACTTAAGTCAGGAAACCTCAATAATAGATTGTATTGGCTCCCTTCAAAGCAGCCTTAATGCATGAAAATTCCTACCTTTGTGCTAATGTAGCTGGAGATAGATCGGTATGTAACAAGATTGCTACTCCAGATTATGCAGCCTGCATAATGTGTTTTTTGTTCAGTAAAAAAATGCACATGTACAATCACTTTCTTAATGTCAGGAAAACTGGTAGACCCAACATGAGTCAATGAGTATAGGCAGGACAGTAGTCAATAATAGCCAAGATCAAAACCATAAATAAAAATAGAGAATAATAATACCTTATTTGGAACCAAAATAGTACCATGACAGGGCAAGGACCTGAGCCCCAGCAAACTATTTATAGTCTGTAAATTTAACTCTATAGCCATGCTCCCAAAAAGTTTGAATCTGCTGATTTTGGCAGGTCATGATGCCATCGGCACTATGACATCAGCACACGCTGCGTTCTGTAAGGGGACAGAATCACATGCTTCACATGTGTTGTGGCTGCTATGGTAACTCCCTAGCCAGCACGTAGCATCACTCTGTTCAGAAACCGGAATCGTGGCAATGAAGCCAGCATGTCAGCGTCACAGAGGAGCTTTGCCCTGCTTGGGGAAGCAAATCAATGAAGACTGTGGGTGGCAACATCTAAATAATCAGCGTAACATTAGGAAAGCGTGTTTGTACAACACCTTAACACATTTACATATGGAGATAATTTTACATATGGCTGCAAAGTCTAGTGATCAGGCTTATAATATTATTACACAAAAAATTCCAGAATTGCAGAATTGCAAATTGCAAACTTTGTAATTAGGCCATGGTAATGTTCATCTCCAGCCCATGAAGCCTCTAATCCAGCACTGATCATATCATACAATGTATTAAGCAATATGTAGCTCTGAATATTTAGGGGTGTGTGTGTGTGTGTGTGTGTGTATGTATGTATGTATATGTGTGTGTGTGTGTGTGTATATATATATATATATATATATATATATATATTATTTTTATTTTTTGTGTACAAAACATAGAAGTACCATTGGCATATTTCTGCTGCATACATAGTTTCATGTTTTCTGTATAGGGAACAACCATAATCACAGATCTGTCATCTCTTAACTACGATGAAACTTACTGGAAATATCCACATGAGTTTAATCCAGAGAATTTCCTGAACGATGATGGGGAACTGATAAAAGTAGAGTCTTTCTTACCATTCTCTGCAGGTAAGTTGCCCAATACAAGATATTTATATATGTTTCAATGATGGAATAACAACACTTTTGTTGGGTAGGTCAGTGTTGCTACATCTCTGTGATGTCTGAGCAATGAGCACTGTACAAGGTCACATACAGTGAAAACATCCCGCATTCCCACAAACTGCAGAGCATGTGATGTAGTTGCTGTAGTAGAGGGTAATCCTATGTAGCGGAGATCTAGTATTCCACAAGTTATCTCTGCTTAAGATCCCAGTGAGGCTCAGGAACAAGTATTTATAAATCCATAATGCAAGGTTTCCAGCAGGTAAAACAATATAGCAATATCCCAACAGCAATCCCAATGACTGGACAACACACAGCATCAGGAGCAGAACTAAACTTTTATTCACACAGTGGCCTTATAAAGCATGCTCCCATGCAAGGGAGGGATTTACAATAATTACTACAGTGCCCAATCATACTCGAGTAACCTCCCACACATCTTCTCCCCTTAGCCTGACTCATAATCCCCTTATACAGTACACAAATTCCCCAAGTTTCTGGATGTACCACTAAACCTAGGGGTACCCCTTTAAATGTCACATCCCCTGGTAGCCCTGATCTGGATATCCAAAAATCACCCAGATTGGACCAGGGGTTCAGGAAATCTGTGGAGGTAATGAAAAGACCGACCGCGATGGAGAGAACAGCCGAATTTGGTTCCAGGAGATGGGGCTCTGCGGTCAGTCACAGTATAAGGGAACAAACTGCACGAAAGGCTAATGCTACAGAGATCAGGGAGGGTTCGCATGAATCCCCTCGTTCGGTTGTTTCTTTCTACCGAACGAGGGGCTGTTCGGTAGTTTGGAAGCGAACATACCGTTAGTATGGAGGTCTCAGCGGTGTTCGCCTAGCCGAGTGTCCGATTTGGGTTTCAGACACTCGACGGCATAACATCGCTGTTCGGGAGTTTTAAAATGGCCGCCGCCACGTGTTCGTTTCTCGAATGGCAGCCACCCTGAGAACAAAGGACCCACTGCACAGCTTGTCAATTACCAGTTCGCAACATTGTTGCAACTGGTAATTGAAGACACACTTCACTCTGGGGAGGTCTGACTGTTCGGTAGTTTCATTCCCATAATTGCTAGAATGATTCTACCGAACAATCAGACAAATACAACATACATTTCCACATATAACATTGCAATTTAACCGAAGACATTAAAACACATGAAATTTCCAGGACAGCCCAGTGTCATCCACTACATCCTGCTCTCCCCTTGACGTGGTTATTAACAATTGTTGCCATACATCAATGTAGAGCATTGAGTGACAGATGGGGGTGGAGGGGCATCTTTTATTTTTATCTATAAATTTATTAGCATTTCTGCTAACACAATGTATAGATGGAATGGTGTGCTCTTTTGCTTTATATAAACATGTATACCATAGTAGGCAAATTTTAGGTGTCTTTTGAAGACCTTAATGATTAATGTCTTCACATGACATGACTGATGTTCTTGTATACATTGATTGTTTCAATATTTAATTGGCTTTATTCTCTATTTTTTGTTTTTGTTTAGGTTTTTGCTCTTTTAAAAAAAAAAAAACATTTTTTTTATTTTCTCAGGGCCGCGGGTCTGTCTTGGAGAAAATCTTGCTCGTATGGAAATATTCCTCTTTTTTACCTTTCTCCTTACCTACTTTGAGTTCCAGAGCCAGACCCAGCATTACCCCCAGACCTCAAACCAGTGTTTGGGATCACTCAAGCCCCAAAACCTTTCAAGATGCGTTTGTTATCACGGAAATAAATGTAATCTCGGTGTTAACCTTGGTGGTCTAAAGAGTCATTTTAAGCACCATGCTAACTTTGGATACCTGCATAGGTGACAGCATAAAGGGGAATTCTTAATGCAACTCTCTCACCAAAAATAAACTTCATCTGATCTGCTTTTGTATTGCTCCCGGTGTCTGAATCAAGTGGTCAAAGAAAAATAAGGCCTACTTTTTCTTATGTAGTCAAGTTGCCAAAATTTGACAAAGATTAAAACAAGATTCTCTTTCAGGTGCCAACCAGATGTGCCCACAGTCCATCAGTAAATCCACAAAGAATGGAAACTGCAGAAGAGAACAAAATGTTGGCACCCGGGTATTGATATCCAGAATTCAATAAAATATAAATAAAGACACGTTGTAAGGAAAGACGTATAATCTTTAAGATACAGAGGGCTTAAGGAAAGAAAATTCAAAAGGGGAAAAAAAAATATATGGCTGCTTTAAGAGTGGCACACCATCAGAACTTTCAGCAAGGCAGCCCAGACCAAAAGTTCCAGGTTGCCTAAATTAATTTTGATCATGTTTTCCTTGCAGCATTTGTATCAGTGACGTGCACTAGAGGAGTCAAGTGAGGTTGAGCCTTGTTTGTCATGAAAGGAGAAAAAAAAATCATGCTTACCTGTAGCACCCAATCCACCGACTAGCTCAGCCTCCCCACTGACTCACGCTCCATCCAGCTTACGCAATTGCTACTTTGACTGCACAAGCTGTCAGAAAATGGCCCATGCACATGCCTGTTAAATAGGTTGCGCAGAAGGAAAGCGGACTTTGAGGCATTGAGCTCAGAAGGATAGTTGATCAATGGAAAAGCACTATTGGTCCAGACTGTCCAGTAAAAATGCTACAGAAGTGGTAGCTATTACAGCTGCCTCTTGTGGTCAGTGACAGGAAGGGGGCATGTCTGGGAGCCTGTATCTTAAAACATACCCCCTTACTGTGACTGTCCGTTAGAGGCAGCTATCATTGCAGCCTCCCCTGCAGCGAGGCAGTGCCCATCTGTATTGAATAAATGGGGACCTGACACAGGGTCCTCATGCTCCCATGGTGCTGCAGCCCCAGGGGCACGTAAAAAAATAATTACGTCCCCCCCCAGTAAAAAATTAACTGGGTGGAAATAGTGTCCCTCCGTCCTTGCCCCAAGAGTGGGGGCCATTAAAATAAATAGAGGGATCTAGTGGCCCCCTGCAGCTCTCACTCATGTCCATAGGTCCTAGCTACTAAATACAATAAGGGGGTCGGGGGGTATTGTGACCAAGCACCATCCATTAGCTGCAGCTGGGGCCCTAAATAACAAGGGGATGGACCTATTGTCCAATTCCGGTCTCGCCAATTGCCGGTGGGCAGTAGCCCTAAATGATAAGGAAGGGTGGCCCTAATGGCGTCCCCCAACTCATTGGCAGTGGTTGGGGTGACTAGGAGTCCCCAAACCTGTAAGCTTAAGCCAACCAATCAGACCGCTCCAACAGGTAAATCATGAGGGGGGTAGGTAGGTTATTTTTTTTTTTTTTATGAGGGTTTCATTAGGGGCTCTGGGAACCTGGAGAGGGGAGAATTATTTTGTGTGGAAGAAAGGACCACCTCCACAATATTTAGGGACCAATCCGCTGCCAATGGGTTGGGGCTGGACAATTGGTCCACCTCCTTTGGGGGCTGTGGGGTGCAATAGGTCCACCCCCTTATAATATATAAGTATGACAGCCACCACAGGAAGATTAACCCTGCAATAAAAAACATTGCTGTTCTTGCAAAATGGCAAGGATTTCAGCTGCAGGAGTAAGTCGCGGGGACATGGCATCCAGACCACTTTATTGAGATGAACTGGTCTGGGTGCATACAATGTTCCTTTAAGTTGTTGTCCATTGGTTTTATTTACTTGCAATTTATTTTAATGATATGATTAATTCAAAATGCAAATTGGATGTCTAGCTGTTTTTAAGTGTTTCAGTGTTTTCGACCATTGGCTGCATTTGAACAGAGTTGAGCGAACCCAAACTTTCATTTCGGACATTTCAGTAACGGTTCGAGTTCGGTGTTCGGCAATTTAATGGCGCACTTTGAAAAGCTGCAGGGCAGCCAATCAACAAGCGTTTGACTCGTGTGCCCTTAGAAGCCATCACCGACTAATCACCGACTAATGGCATAGCTGTGATTGGCCAGTGCAGCATGTGACCCAGCCTCTATATAAGCTGGAGTCACGTAGCGCCGCATATCACATGATCTCTTATTAGTGTAGGTAGAGGATGCTGCAGCTGTGAGGGACAGATTAGGAAAGAATTCTGGTGTTGAATCTGCAAACTACAGCAATTATTTTTGTGGGTGCTATACTACATTTTTGTACCCTGCCCTGAGCCCAGTGCCACAGAGAAATAAGCAATCAGTCTGTTAGGTGGGCACTTGCAACTGCATGTGTGCCAGGCACATTACTTTAATCCTCTTCTGGTAGTTCAGTGGGCAACATCTAGGCATTTTTAAATACTGCTGTGACATTGCAGTTTGACAAATTAAAAAAATTTTGGTGCTAAAAAGTTAATTTGGGGCGTGCACTTCATATCTGAGAGTCAAATAGAACCGTCAAATACTGCTGTGACATAGCAGTTTGACTAATTCACATTTTTTGGGTGCTAAAAAGTAAATTTGGGGCGTGCACTTCAAATCTGAGAGTCAAATAGAACCGTCAAAAACTGTGGTTACATCGCACTTTGAAAAATTAAAAAAAATTTGGTGCTAAATAGTACATTTGCGGCCTGCGGTGCATTTCTTGCAGTCCAATAAAACCGTTAAATACTACTGTTACATTGTTGGTTTCAAAAATCACAGTTTTTTGTGCTAAATAGTACACTTGCAGCCTGCGGTGCATTTCTTGCAGTTCAATAAAACCCTTAAATACTATTGTTACATTGTTGGTTTAAACAAAATCACAGTTTTTTGTGCTAAATAGTACATTTGCAGCCTGCGGTGCATTTCTTGCAGTTCAATAAAACCCTTAAATACTATTGTTACATTGTTGGTTTAAAAAAAATCACAGTTTTTTGTGCTAAATAGTACATTTGCAGCCTGCGGTGCATTTCTTGCAGTCCAATAAAATCGTTAAATACTACTCTTACATTGTTGTTTGACAAATTCTAATTTTTTTTGAGACAGTGAAGTAACTGTATTAATTACGCCTGTCACACTATTGTGTGACCTCTAGA